CACGCTTTTTGTGGCCAGTCAGCAAACGTGCAGCAGCGTTTTGTACTAGCTGTAGGCGTTTAATTGAGGCCTGGTCCATACCCACATACAGAGCGTTGCAATAGTCCAGTCTTGAGGTTACAAAGGCGTTAATAACCCTTTCTAAGTCATTAAAAGATAAATACAACTTGGTTTTGGCCAATAGTCTTATTTTAAAAAAGCAGGATTTTACTACGGTGCTGACCTGCTTGTCGAATTTAAAAGTGCTAGTGAAGGTCACTCCAAGGTTCATGACCGAGGGGAGGATGTTTTTTTTTGATAGAGCCCAGAATATCAACCGGAGAGGCTGGAGGTTGGGGTCCAAAAAAGATGACCTCAGTCTTGCTCTCGTTGAGGTTGAGAAAGTTTTTGCTCAGCCAGGATTTTATCTCTGCTAAGCAGTCCATCCAGTCCATATCATTTTGTGTATGCAAGAAATTCCTGGTTGGCTTAACAGCTTCCCAATCAGACGATGGATTTCCTATAGATCCTTTCACATTCAAGATATGTTCCACTTTATTATCTGTCTCAGTGTATATGACATCAGTTCACACGAAGTTGTCGTGAACCAAAGCTGCATCCTAGAAACTAAATGTAATTGAAGCGGTGTAAAGGCATATGATAGAATAGCTCCTTTAACAACCACCCCCCCTTAAATGCCATTGGCATCACATCCTAATAGGGTCTTCTCGGCTCCATAATCTTGGATGTTGAAAATGTCCCAGGTCTCAATGACTTTTGCCGCAAAAGTCTCTATCAAAATGTTAACACCAGTGTCCAATTCTGAAACCTTCCTTCTGATGTTGCTCTTTGAGACAGGGATTGTCTGTGTGTAAACCTCATTGAGAGCTCCACAAACTGTAAACCATACAATTTGGGCCCCACCAGTTCTGTCAGGATTTGAACAGCCTTTTCTTGGCCCATGTGCCACAAAATATTGGTCTTGGTGCCCTTTAAATTCAGCTTCTTAATAAAACAGTTGGTACAAAAGCTTGCTGTACCCCAGAATCCAAGAAGGCAGAGCTGTGCAGCATCTTATCTTCTTTCTGAGGTTTCAATTGTACTGGCACACAATGGAAAGGTTATAGTCATGGTCTCTGGCAACCTTAAGTACACTTCTAACTGGTGCTTTCTGTGGTTTATTTGTTTTGTTTCAAGATAGTCCGGTGTTTTAGATTACATTCGTCACAGGTCAGATGACTTCTGCATTCCTTGCTCATGTGGCCAGCCTTCAAGCATCCAAAACAAATTCCTTTTCCTCTCAGGAATTACATGTTCTCCTTTTGATAAATGTCAATCAGATTTAAGTGCCAGCATATTGGATATGATTCTTTTCAATAGAGGCTTCATTATGAGGACAACTTCTTAGCTGTTATGGGATGCTTTTGCATCTTGTGTACCCTTGGCTTAGGAGCTACCGTATGGTTAGTGCAAATATTGTTGCAAATCGGCCTCATTAGATGTCACTCCTGATTGGGTCAGAAAAAAACATCAAATAGTGAATGAGGCAACTTGGTGCTACAGAAAATTCTCAATATCTGGGAATGTGGCCCTGTGTGTTGTTCTTGTATCTCGCAAGCTTTAGACGCCCAACTTTCCCACAGGCTGCCATCACAGCTATGGCATCTTCTTGGTTGTGTCTGGTGACAACCTGTAATTGTTGGTAATGTATCTTCCAAAATGTCCCATAATGATTTTGGTGGGTATTTCATCATCCTGAAACATTGAGGGGACGGTGCATAAGCATTTTGTGAATTTATATTTATATTGTGCTTATAAGGTAATCATTTTCACACGTTATTGTGACCAGAAAGATTTATATATTTCACTCAGTAAAAACTGGTAATTAGCGGATAATTGATGCAGCACCCTCTTAGGAACAGTGCAAATTCCTGCCTGCTTAACAACAGGCCACCCAAATGCTTTGTCCGCATAGGCTGAAGATGTTCTGTGTTCATTGCCAAAGTGTTCTTTCAAAATACATTTTGCCCTTTGATATCCTTGTTATATGACAATACCTGTCATATGAGGCAGCTAAATACCAGCTCTATGTGCTGCCCCCTAGTGAATTGTTTCAGAAAATACAGACTGCTGGTCCTCTCTTCAAAATAATGTTCAAAATTCTCAAAAAATGTAAAACAATGGGTAACAAGACACAATGAGATGATGAGGTTTTGTCTCTATTTGGATAATAAGCGTCCATTTATTGAGATGCTGTACTTGTTCCTATGTGTATTTGCAATTTTGGTTGTACATCAAGTGTGAATAAAACGGGTGGAGCTCTTGAGCCTTGATCCAAATACTAATTAGTTTGTGTTTCATCAAAAGCGATCTAGCATTTGGGTTGAATTAAAGTCCTTGATCTTTTAGTCTTTTGCTAATATAGGAACTAATGCCATTTGAATAATAGGGTGTTTCCTACAATTGTACTTCCTTCCTTTTAAAAAAAAAAGAGAGCAACAGGTGCTATTTGTCTCAAGCTCCAAGTAATCCTTGATTTCCCTCATGGGTTTTTTTCTTTCTGAGCTGTGTGTGCTGTGTGGATGAAATAATAAACAGATTACCTGGATTGTCTCCCTCTGCTTGACTTTCTGCTAGACACATTAGACACATCATTTCCAGGAATAATTTCCTCTTGGCACCCGGGCTTTGCATTTCCATCAAGTTTTCATCATCATCATTTGCATTGTCATCGTCCCCGTTTACTCAAGCCATGTTGAAGCCAAGAGAGTGTTGACTTTTTCTTCAAATGATTTGCCAAAATGGTTATTTATTTCTGTGGACTCAGTTTCAACTGTAACAGAGTGCATATCATTCATTTTTTAACAAAAGCATATATTTTTTTAAGAGAAGGCGCTTCAACACAATTGATGCTCTATGTTGAGGGCTTGCAAATGAGGTGTGCATTTTCAGTTTGTAAAATCAATGAATGAAATCTTGAATGCAACACATATTATCAAAGTAGTCCACTACTGCATATAACCAATTTAGATATCCAGAGATGTGTGCAATAACTATAGGAACATCTTTTGGCTTGTGTGAGTTGGTGCTGTTGAAGGAAACGTTGCTTTCCATTGGGGATGATGATGGATTTGCCAATATCCGGGAGATCAACAATTATTAAAAGTACAATGTGTAGATTTTGGCTGCATATAGCATTTAAATGACAGATTGCTGCCCCCCACTCACACCTGCCAACCCAAGACTTTGCACCCCTGAGTGCAAAACCTTAGAAATGCTGTGCTTTCTTTCGCAACCTTTGCATTGCTCAGAGGCCAATATAACCATAACAATACTCTAGGAGCAACACAATTCAGGCAGTGGCTGGTGTTAATGCAGATTACCAACAGGAGGTTATTACACTTCATTTTCACATAGCAAATGTTACAATCATTTTATTGTTCTGAATATCGGATTGAGAACCATGATTGAAAACCAGTATAGACCAGAAATATTACTATATGTTATAAAATATTGTCTGTTTTGGTGTTTTGCTAGACTGGTTTGCTAGCATGAAGTTATGTTCTGTCAACTAAGAAAGTTACCATCACAGTAACAAAACGTGGAACATGTAAAATGAAGGAGTGGAATTCATTTTTTACGATAATTAATCTAAATACAATACACATTTTATTTTTTTGAAATTCTTTTTTTATTCAGCTTTTTGTGTCATTCCAGAATTGGAGGACAATTTAGACACCAACATTTTTGAAAAATGAACCTTTTATTTTATTTTATTTTTTTATGTATTTAGGAAAAACAGATAATAAACCATCAAAAAAAGTGATTTGCCCAGCTAAGGCATCAAATGTATATTTTCCAATGAAGAATTACCCCTGTTACTCTAATTATAGTAACAGGGTTGAAAGTAACAGGGTTGAAAATCAATGCTAATTTGAGCTTTAACCTCAGGAATTATTGCTAGAGCATGTAATTCAATAGCAATTCAATTTCAAGGCAAGGACAAACTTGGATATTTAATGAACTTTGAAATGAATATGCTTTATTCTGATAATATGAGTAACAGGGTTGAGTGGGTTAGAGTGCCACACTCTTTTAAGACTGAAAAGATTGTAAAAATATGAAAAATAAAAGAGAGGACTTAGTTTTGGTCTACCCATGGCACTAGCACATGGCTTGCTGATGTCCCTTCCACTGTGTCATTTGACTTACAGTTTTTTCACTTCCTCTGCCAATCTAAAAAGGTTTTGGGTAACAGGGTTGAACGCATGTTACTGTTATTTAAAATATGTGTATGATTTAACAAATTGATTTTACCATTACAAGAGACATATATCAATAGAATAATACCAACAAAAAGTAAATAAAATCCCTATTTTAAATGTTATATTTGACATGCAAGTTGGTCACCAAGAAGCAGGGACAAGAGAAAAATGTCATTTTAGGGGGTGTTCGAGAGCTATTTGATCATTTAAATAAAACTTTTTCTACAACTTTATATACATTTTGTCTCAAGACAAGTATGTTTAACACAACAAGTGCATGTTTTTAGCTTTTTGGGCATGGATTATTAGATTTTTTATATGGGGGACATGAAATGTCCTCCAATGAGTGACTAATACAATATTCTCTGTAAGCCTTAGTTAACAGTGAAATCACAAATCAAACTTACATATGTGTGGATAATACAGAGGCAGGCCTCACTGACCTTCAAACATGCTATAACATACAGTATGAACATAAACACGAACAGGGTTATGGAGGTCAATACACATATTCATTCATTTATCTCTTTGCTTGCTGGTTCTTAAATGCTAAAATTGGATTAGCAATTTGAAGTAGGCAACTCCGAGTGTGAATTTAAAGTTTTCCTAGCGTATGCACCCTTCTCAAGTTATTACTGACGGGTCTAAAAATAATACATTATCATCATCATACATCCATGTGCTTATTTCGCACTGCGGAACTAACGTTTCCCTAGATCTGCCGCGGTACAGTTTCACGTCGGACATAAATATGTGTCGGACCATCGTACCCAACGAGGAATATCTGAGTACTGTAAAGCCCAAAATACATAATTATTAGGCTATTTCGCAAATAATTAGACGTCGTTTGAGAATGTGTGCCCTGATGTAATGAACATTTATATTATCTTGGAGGCGGACATCCTGAATTTGTCACAGAAGTTGTTTATTTTCTGAGAAGATGTTTGCCAGACCAATCCGTGTCAAATCCAACACAGCAATCAAAGGATCAGACAGGTGAGTAAGAACTGCTGTCAGCTCAAAACTATTTCTGTGCTTCTCTCCATGTATTACATGATACCGTTTATTTCTATTTTATTTATTTAGTGGTTTGTTTATAATTACTCAAGCTCAACTTTAAGCCTTTTAGAGAGCTGCCCAGATATTAGACGTCACTTGTCGTGAATCAGAATGTTTCTTAATGTTAAGTAACATGTTCCCCTCTGGAAGTATCAAGACCCCAGGAGTATATCACTTTCTCAGTGAGCTAATTTTAGCTGTTGTGAATTACCATTGAATCCCAGATACTGAGTGTACAAATAGTATACTGGTATTTTTGTTCATGCATTAAACCAGGGGTGTCCAAACTTTTTTCACTGAGGGCCACATACAGAAGAATATACGAAGGGCTGGGCAACTCACTAGAGGTATATCGCCTCATAAGTTAAGTTATAAGTTAGCAAAATCAATCAAATTATGCTTGTGAGTGTAGGCAGCTCATTCCTTAAAACAGAAGCCTCAGATTTATTATAATAAGGAGAAATAGGAAGGGTGTATTTCAAGCTTGTTATTTAAATACTGTAAGTCATTGGCCTTTTTTCTTATCAACTAAGATATGTTAGAAAATGTTTCCAACTTTAATTGACTGAATTTATTTGAAAAGTGGTCTTATTAACACATGAATACTACTGTGTAATATATGTGTACATATATATTTAAGAAGTACAATAAAAGACAAGCACAAGTTTCATTTGTGGGCTATATTCCATTATACTTTTTGAATTTGCTGAGGGCCGATTCAAAATGGCCCGCGGGCCGTAGTTTGGACACCTCTGCATTAATTGAATCCAACACTGCCAAGCCATTATCAGTCAGAACCCCCCCAGACTGTATTACTAATCAGTCTATTGCTGAAAATCAAATATCAAACTTTTTCTAACCAATACTTCAAATGATATTGTGACAATATTGGGGTTGCAATTTAAGAAAATACACATACAGTACATGGCATGCAAACAATTATTTCTGCCTGTTAAATGTGTGCCGTGTTCGGTTAAATATAAACATTGCAAGACACTTTTTTTAAATAAAAAATATTCAACATGCTGCATTTATCTAGTGTATATCTGTAGCAGTGGTTTTTGCTTGTATGACGTTACCCATTGACTGAGACGTTTGTCTTTACCTTTTAGGAGAAAGCTGAAAGCTGACCTGTCTACAGCCTTTCCTTCATTGTCTGCTGATGAGCTGTCTGAGCTGGTTCCCAACAAAGAGGAATTAAATGTAGTGAAGATTTATGCACATAAGGGAGATGCTGTGACCCTTTATGTTCTTCACAAAAATCCACTTTTCTTTGAACTGGAGAAACGCCTTTATCCTACAGGTAATAAGCTAGCTGTTAAGTTACATAGAAATGATTTTTGGTAACTTATTTTAACTGTGTGTTGTCATATTATGTTTTCAGTATATGTTCTTTGGCGCTACCCTGCTCTCCTGCCAACATTCATGACATGGCCTCCTGTGCTGCAGAAGATGGTTGGAGGGGCAGGTATACATTCTTACGATCAAGACCCGGAAAGATGTGTAATACTTTACATTTAGATTGATATCAAGTAACAAATAATGTCGTTCCCCAAAGATCTCATGCTGCCGGGTGTGGTGGTGCCTTCAAGTGGTCTCCCCGATGTGAAACATGGCGACTACTGCTCTGTTACATTAGTTAACAATAGGTAAGTTATTATAAAATGTTTGGAAAGATATCTTGCACGTTCATCATCACAGATTTATGTATGACACTCCTGGCTGATTTCAGAGCTCCTGTTGCAGTTGGCACGGCTGCAGTTTCCACAGGAGAGATGCACAGTTTGGGCATGAAAGGAAGAGGAGTGTGTGTTCTGCACACGTACATGGATCATCTCTGGTGAGTAATATCCATCTTTCTGGAGATTGCAATAATGTATTTTTGAGAAGGTTCTGGTTTAAAGGGCGTTGGATGAAAAGTTAGATTTACTGCTTCTAATGTCAAAGAGTGAAATCAATCTTCTCATCTCATTCTCCCTGCAAGAAGTCTGATGAGCATGTTTTCCAATGTATCATCAGTTCCTTTATTATCTATATCACAGTATTATTGATACATAGTTTCCACTTATTTCTTTTTGATGTAATGCTCAGTACCTCTTTTAAAAGAAATCATCTCAATACAGCTTTTTCTAATTATAGTCCAAATCATGATTACAGTTTTTTGATTCATTATGAAGCCCTAAACTTTGCACATGTTTATTTTCCCCCTTTAAGGGCTTTTGGAGATAAGTCAGGTCCTCCTTCTTTACCAAATGCAGAGTGTGACGGACAAGAGGAGTACGAAGAGGAATATGAGGTTAATGAGATGGAAATGGAGGAAGAGGAGGTGGTGGGAAAATGTGCGGAGGAAGAGCAATGTCCCGGTGAAACGGTCACTGATCAAGCCTGCTCTGGTGTTGACGCACTAAGTCTGGCTGAGCAGGAGGAAGAGAAAGGGGAAAAGGGCAATGAGGAAGAGGATGGTAACCAGGATGACCAGAAAATGCCACAAGGTACCAAATTAGTTACACCGCCCACCATATATTTACAATGTATTTAAAATAACAACTATGTCAAGTTATTGAAGTACTTAACTCCGCCCTGGTAGCAAATAACTATTATCCCTGATCAAATTACATTTAGACATTCACTACTAAATGATTGCAGGGCAGGCGTGAGGGCTTGCTCACTGAATTAATTTAGAGACCATATGGTTGTGTTTTGTTGATAAAACTGTGGAAAAAAATCTGATTGGCAAAATTGGAGCCTGTTCACAGAGAAGAGGATGTGACCCAGGTCATGCCCTGATTTCACAGAGACAATGGACGCCCTGCTGTTGCAGTGTTTTCTCCATGCTCTCAAGAGCAAGTTGAAGAAGTCAGAGCTCCCCCTGCTGACCAGTACATTTCTCCGGAACCACATGTTCGCCTGCTGGTAAAGTACAATTAATGTTTCAAGACATGTTGAGAAAGATTTAAATTCAGTACTGAGAACATATTGTATTATTTCAGCCCAAGCGGAAAGCAAATTGATATCAAGAAATCCAGCTACAAAAAGGTATATTAAATGTCTATACTTTTACAATTTACACATAAAAATACAGTCATTTATAACTCTGTATGCATTTATTTAATGATTATTCCTTGCAGCTGTCCAAGTTTCTACAGGCCATGCAGAAGCAGCATAACCTTGTGCGAATGAAAGAACTGACCAAGGGTGTGGAGAGCATTGTAGAGGTCGACTGGAAAAATCGACAGTGAGCCAAACCCTGTCCCAACTTATAGAAATTCTTGGTGGAGATTCAAACTTGCAGCCCGCCTACATTCAGACTGACTAGCCCTTTTTGTGTTTTTCCTTTTTCTTACTTTAACACTTTATAGACTGCGTTCCTTCCAAGTTCCCGAGGAGACAGAAGGGGAGGTTGCTCCGGTGCAGGATGAAGGGGAAGGAGAATCCCTGTACCATCCTCCTGAGATCACAACTATGTACTCTGTGTCCTCTCGACTGGAGCCTCTGTTTCTCGATGTACAGAAGAGGTGTGTTTGTTTTCCTAACCCGGTGACTTTATGCATCAACATGTTTGCATGGTTAGGGCAGCAGGGCGTCAGCAGGGAGAGCTGAAGTTAGTATATCAGCTAGCTTGCATCCATTTCATGTTCACTTGGATATAACACTGAATCCCTAGCCATTCCAGGAGGTTTGTTCTGTAGCTGACCTCCCTGTGAGAGGATAAGACCGTTTTCTCATGACATAGGATACTTAATCTTAGACCATTATTTAAATGACTCCCTTGTCGTCTCTTTACTACTCCCAAAAGACACTAAATTGTGTTCTCCTTATCAGTAAATCCTCTTGTAAGACACTCGTGAATCATCATCATCATCCTTTCGCGTCTTCACTGATAGCTGCAGTGTTTTGGCAACTCTGAAACATGATTGCATATTGAGCAAAGAAAGTACATAAGCGCACGTGTAACCTTAACAATGGCCCTTTTCTATGTTAGTGTCTTAAATCAGCATGCTTAAGCAGCTGTATTGAATGAATCCAACATTTCTTCAGTGAAAGTAATCCCATGTCTAATAGTTAAAACTTCTGTAATTAAACATATTTTCATATTCATATGTTCTGTATTTTCAAAACAAGAGAGGAGTAGTAGTTGTAATTTATTCATTTGTTTTAAGTTTTAATCCGGAAAGAGTGTTTTCTTGTGGTAAATGGCATGCTCTTCACTTCTGTGGTATATGGCATTTATCCATGCTGCTTCTCCCTATAGTAATAAACATTGTAAAAAATTCTGTAATTGTTTTGAATTGGTATAAAAGGCAGAAGCATGACAACAGTTTTTATTACAGGAAGTCTCTAAGCTGAAAACAATATTACATTACTTACATGTGCACATTTACTGTTGTACTTATATGTGTTAATGTCCTGACAGGAAAGGAACAATACTGCAGCCTGCTGAAGTGAAACATCTTGTCACAGAGTATGTTAAGAAGAATGAACTGGTGGATGAAAATAATAAGAAGTAAGTAAGAACAGATTTCAGAACATCTCGTAGAGCTATGATTTAATGTTTGTCTTCATAAATCATAAGGATATGTTCATTGATCTCACAACCAAACTTTGTGCTAGTTAGCTGACTTGAAGGGTAGTTTGAGTTTGAAACATAAAAACCTTACCAGCTTTTTTGTATTAACTAGGAGCAATGCTAAAAAGGCAGCATCTATGGCCACTGAGCTAATATAAAGCTTAGCTTGATGTTGTCATAATGAACTAAATGCATAAAATGTGACTCTGGATGAAGTAGAGACATCTCATGTGTCCCTTTTAGGTAGTGGAAATTGTGCATCTTCCGAAACAAATTGATCATCAGGAATGGGAGAAAATTGAATAAAAGCTGCCATGCAACTGGCATAGCTTAAAGGGATCGTTTAGATGTTTTGAAGTTTTATGAGGTACCTAACTGTAGTCAATGTACAACCTTCAGTATTCGGCGGTTTGCATGCCCCTCTGTTTGAGAGGCAGACGGGAGTTACCGCACGGAAGGAGAGCAATGTACTGAGGCAGGGGGGAACAGCTAAACATATTTTAACTACCTAAAGCAAGCAATAGATGTATAATATATTTATAATATTTATAATCTTTACCTCGCCTTTACTCTGCTATTTCTGACTAGGAACTGAAGCCGTTATCTATGTTAATTTTTAAAGCCCCCAGACTCTTCACAGAACACAGGAGGTCACCGCTTTATGTTTGGTATATTACTTGTTGTTATTGTGTGAGTTAAGTGTTGTAGAAGTTTGTTTGGATTACCCAAAGTCATACAATAACTAACTAACTGACTGATTGAGTCAGCGGTACACCAGCAACTCTTGTTATGCATGGTATCAATGGAGTCTGGTGGATTTAAAGAGCATCAACGGATATAACGCCTTCAGTTGCTCATTGGAAAAGGCTGTCTGATGGCAAGGCAAAAATAAAGTAAATATTGTATACACTAAAACAGGTACTCCTACCTGCTTTTTCAAACCAGGTTTGTTCCAACCATCATCTACTGAAATAATATAGATGAGTACCTCACACAACCCCGCTCCATTAGACTGGAACTATCTCTTTTACAAGGCAGAGCATTTCTTGTCAAGTGCCATCAAGCCAATGTTTTTTTTGTTTTATGTTTTCTCCCATCTTAACAGCTACGTGACTGTAGACCCTATTCTGTGTGACTGCTTGCTGGAGAGATCAGAGTACCAGGAGATCGGGTCCCTAAAGTGGGATGACCTTTTTAGCAGGTGATTAATCATTTTATTTCTGTCAGTTTTTTAGGTATTTTTTGCCATCTAAAACACCAAATGTTGTCATTTCATGAGTTTTATCGCACATGCTTAAAGTCTTGTATATTTAAGCAATAGCTCACGACAGGCCGTGGTATATGCTCATTATATCACAGCTAAGGAGCGTGGTTCGGCCCGAAGCGAAGCGGAGGGTCGACAACCCCCCTGGAGATAGGCACTCCTCAATCCACTCCTCCATAGTAAGACCCCCCCGGAGGTCGAAGTTAATCTTAAATGTTTCCATCTTATGCTTTGTAAGTTTGTTTCGTAATGGAAGAAATGTAAATATATTTATAAAACGGACAAGTCAAATCAAGCAATCTGATTGGTCGATAGCGTTTTTGCGGACCTTTTTGATTACAGATTTGAAAACATCGTTGCTTGCTTTAAAAGTAGCACAATTCATTATGTCAAACCTTGGAAAGTATCTAGATATCCCTGCCCTAATGCCAAAGGAACTGCACAATGAATATGTTTTTGCCGTTTGATGTCTATGTCTGGACCGCTGCGTAAAAAGGAGGGTTTCTGCCCCGTTACTTCTCCGCTGTTTTCTTGTCCCAGTTTGAAAAGCTGTTTTTCAGCCCAACTGTATACAGTTTTTCTCAGACGTGGAGGGATACTGACTTGTTGTGAAAAATAACTACAATTCTACCCGTGGTATATGCTCAGTATATCACGGCTAAGAACCAATCAGATTGCTTGATTTGACTTGTCCGTCTTATAAAGGACTGTATACATACCTATAATGTGGATTTGTATAGATTAACAATTTATCAATACAAATAAATCCATTGATCCTTTCTACCAACATGTGAATACACTGTAATGCGGGCTGAGGGAGAGGTTCAGCATCGTTATTGCAGGACGCAGGATGAAATAATCATCCTAATGCAAAGATGTAATCAAAATCTGATCTGTAAACAATATTTCAGCTGCTCTGAAGTCTTTCCATCAAAACATCTGGTTTGTAACCGCTGCTATGAAAAAACAAGATGCCATATTTGAGAAACGAGGACACATCCCGTAATGTTTTCTGTTCTCCTATTGCCTTAAAGGTCCCATGTCATGGCCATTTCTACTGATCATAATTCCATTGTTGAGGTATACTAAAATAAATGTATATTGTGCAATTTTCCAAACTCACATTGGTTTCTCATACAGCATCTCTGTATAGTATGTGTATTCACTCTCTGTCCTAAACGCCTTGTTGGAGCTCCTGCCCCCCCCCCCCCCCCCCTATGAGCCCAGTGGCCGTCTGCGAGACAGCGAGACACAGCGAAACCCAGCCCGAAACACACACACACCCGCAGCCTGGCTGGGAGTTTGTGTGTGTGCCCAGGCTGAGTTCCGCGGTGTCTCGCTGTCTCGCCGACCCCACACCAGTGAGCCAGCTCACACTGTCCCGCTCCTCGCAGCAGCGAGCCTCGCAACGTCCCGCCAAGTGTGTGTGTGTGTGAGGAAGTCCGCGGATTGGTCCAAACGTAACGGCTCCGCGGACGTAACGTAACGGATCATCATTTTCTGTACATCACTACCCAATTCAATGGTTTCCCTGTCCATCTATCAATTTAGCCATCTTTCCATCATCTAACTTTTGCTGTAGGTTTAACACTGCCTCCTCATTTTCACAGGACGTTGGGAAGAATGCAGGAGTGCTATCAAATTGTGTACCCTGGACAGAGACCCATACAGAAGAAGGGCCACATCGAGCCCATAGACATTGCTGTGTCTTCTCGAGGCTCCAATAAGAAGGTTACAACCTTTACTGAAATATCCTAAATTCAAAGTTGTAGATTAGCAGGGATTACGTCTACCAATACTGATGAAGGATAGCTAAGGGAGTCTAGAGAAATGCTATCTGCTCTGTGAGGTTGAACGATGGCACAGAAGTAGAGCTAAATTCTCATTTGAACATGCTCACAATAAACATGCTTTCATGCTAATGTTTAGCAGATATCATCGGCCATGTTTACCATCTTAGTCAAGTGTGTTATATTGTGAAATGTTGCTTGAAAATGATCTGTTTACATTTGTTTGGACAAACATTGTAATTAGACTTTGTGACCTTAAACATACATTTAGCTTGTTTGTACTGCAGTATATCTTTTTCACTGGCTGACACGGTAAACTGATGTCCATGTATTTTTCTAGCTCTAATTGTTTCCATATGCTTACTATAGGTGACCTTAATAAAGAATCTGGAAGTGTACGGTTTGGATCCTGCGGTCGTGGCCACGGCTTTGCAGCGCAGAGTTCAGGCCAGCTCCGTTTTACAACCCATCCCCGGGTCCAAGGACAAAGTCCTGGTCCAGATCCAAGGCAACCAGATTCATCAAGCTGGCAATTTGCTGCTAGGTTTGAAACCTTTTTGTAATTATTGAGTGTTCTTGTCGTTGAATGTGTTATTTTAGACCTCGGGACTGTGGGAAACAGTATTTCGATCTTTCTGTGTGTACAGACATATTTTGAGATTGACTATAAAGTTGACTTTGACTTTTGACTTTCATCATTTTTTAATATAATACTCAATAGTTTTTAATAAATTGCTTTATTTATGCAAATTCCTTTTTACTAATATTTATTTTTTCTATTTCAGATCATTATCAGATTCCTCGCAAGTACATTAATGGGCTAGAAAAAGCTCCGAAAGGTGGAAAGAAGAAGTAACATTTCAACTTGCTATACTAACCATCTACTATCTTTATTGCTGCTTAACTGTATGTCAACACAACAACGACCAACTATTGACTATTCATGAACCGTTAGTAAACCTGGTTAATTGTAATCTTTTGTGGGATTATTATTGGCTCCCAGAGATATTGGAGAAAGGGTACTGATAGGATCAATTCAACCTCACCAGCATTGTTTCCCTGTGAAGTGATTTGAGAATTTCTGGAGAGAACTCCTCTACCAGGTTAATAGATCAGTATAATCAGATAAGCATTAGGTTAAACTAATCAATTGTTTATACCCCATTTACGGTTTTGGACATTTGATGGCATTTTTAGACATCCACAGACAGTGGAGAGATGACAGACAGGGAGTGAGGGCTAGATGGGCAACAACATGTGAAAGCTTGATGCAAACTGTGGTTTCTACCTGGGCTGCAAACACATTTCAAGATCTGTACAGTAGCTTTTGTTTTGTTTAAAACACTGCAGTCAACAAAGAAATGTAAATAAAAAATTACAAAAGTAACAAACCTGTTTTAACCAAGTGATTGTTCTGCTGTTATTCTTAGAATTCAAGGCAACGGCATCACACATATATATTACATAACCGCATCAAAGTTGTTTTTGTAAGGGTTTTTCTTTTTTCTGATGGATGGATAAACTGAGGCAGTATACACTTATACAGCCTCAGTTATGTTGAGGTCAGGGCTCTGTGGGGACCAGGCTAGTGTTCCATCTGCACATTGGCTTTCCAAGTCTATATCATGTTTGTGGTGTTTTGGATGATGATGTTGAGAGAAGAGGAAAGTGTGCCAATATTTTCCCTGTAGGCAATCCAGATGTGTTTATTGTGTAGATCCTCAACAACCATAGTATAAGCAGGGGATGGGGGAAGCATATTCCCCTCACTTTTTGAAATCCTGGACCAAGTGATTAAAATAATGTGCAGACTTTTACTTATTTTTTGTTTTAGCTTCTTAAAGGCTGCCCTGCCTTTAGATGGCGGTTGCTTTATGCAGCCTCGAAAGAATACAAGCTGTTTTTACTCCGTGCACCCCAAATACTTTTTATTTACAGCCATGATACTTTACCGCCCCAATCAAATTGTACCTATTGTAGATTTGGTAATATTTTTGTGTTAAAAAAAAAATTATGTGATGAGTGAATGAATGAAGTAATCTTAGATGATGTTCGATGCCTCTTTGAAAAAATGTTATTTTGTGAGGAAAAATACTTTGAACGGAAAATACAGTTTTGTGACCAGTCGACTTGGGAAAGGTTTAAACTTTGTACATTAATGACTCCCTTATGGCAGCACTGTAGTATAGAGTCAAAAATAATTAGAAAAATATAGGCCTTACATCAGGGGTCTCAAACTCAAGGCCCGGGGGCCAAATCCGGCCCGCGACTTCATTTTATGTGAGCTTGCAAAGAATATAATACGTTTATTATACAGTTACATGCCACTTTACAGAAGCAGGTTGCCCATAAACTACATGTCCCACAATGCATCTCGTTTTTGTGACATGCGCACTGAAGAGACTTGCCCTGGACATCTGCTTTCAGACGTAGTTAATTACTAAGTTATTATCCTATCCGATAATAATCTAATTCAAAGGCAATAATGTAATATAATACATTATTTTATATATATATAGATTTGTCATAATACATTTTTATTAGAAATACAAGCAAATTTGCAAAGAGTGACGATAGTTGTCACATCAGGAAGTCTTTTTTGTTGGCTGTAAGTCTGGAAACCAATTGTAGGCATTTAATTCTGTAATGTAAATGTGCCATGTCAAACAGGAGGGACGTGAGTCAGGATTGTTAACATGGGGAAAAACATTTCCCTCCTTTAATAGATGGAGATTATGAGTTAAACACGTTTAAAAAGAAAACTAAATGAGGTTTTATGGAGTCTTAGTTCTATTAAAGCCTTGGCTGCTGTAAGTCATTTACCAGTAAGGACTGCCATGAGATCATTTCCTCTTGTACACACACACTGGAGGTGTGTCTTTAATTGGGTTTTATTTCCCGGCTATAGTTTTGCAGTAGAAAAACACCTGTCTGGCACAGGCTAATATCTGTGTCACAACTTAGACTGGGTGTAACAGGCACATTCATCAGACGTATGAATGTACGCTCAACATAGTCCCAGTGTCTGCTTCTAATTTATCTCTAGGTTATAATCATTACGATCCAGACTATAAATGTGAGTTATTCGGAGGATGACCCCAGTAATAGCACGGGTGACAGCATCATGAATCTCATGGGCTCAGTCACCAGAAGCTCTACAGATGTTCTCGTCCTAGAGTGCAGCAGTGGCATGGCTTTGCTGACCCTGGAGGTCAAATCGTTTTTCGATATGAACCCGATTGCTACAAGACATTAGGTGCCGATTAAGGTTGTTAAAGGTCCCCTATTGTACTGTTTTTCATATTATAGGTCTCAGATATATACAAAACATGTCTCTGAAGTGTTTGGCTCGAAATACCAAACAGATCGTGCATTATAGCATCCCATAAACCCACTGGGCCACTCCCCACGCCCCTCTGCAAGATATTTGGTTAAAAAAAACACTATGGTGCTCGAGGAGGAGATTCAGGTGATAAGGTTGGGGGGGTTACCTTGGTTAGTTATCGGCTAATGGTTACACAAGCCAAAAAATCGTTATGACATCATAAAGTGGCCAAAATCTGATCAGCTCATTTTCAGACAGGTTTTTATATAAATGGACCAGGACAAAAAGTTTTCCTGAAACTTTCAGAATCTCTTTACACAGAGGGGACACATGTTTATGTATTAAGACATGAAAAAGTGGATTTTGCATAATAAGTGACCTTTAAGTGGGAGGAAGAGCAATAGGCTTGCAGCTTTTGAAGCCAACCCAGAGCAAAAATGTGTTGAGTCTGGGCCTCCAGTTTGTAAATACATCAGGTGTGGTTGTTCTGGTAGACTGGGGAAATTAGACCAGTCAGTAAGGAAGGTCACAAAGCTGATTTAAGAGAAAACGTGCTGCTGTCCATGCTGCACATCTTGAAGTGCAGATTTTAGTTTTCATTTTCCTTGTGTGAATCACAACAAAAACGTCACGCCAGCCACGTTGAGCCGTTGTACGCTATTTAGTTGAAAATGTCCCTCAGGCTGCACCATGGCTAGTCACTCCAAAAAGGCTCCTGCTGGTGGTCAAAAAGCTAAAGAACCACAATGAAGATCAGAACAATGTTTTCAGCCACAGCAATGGCCATCAGCTACAAGGTGCTATCATGCAGATGATTTAAAAAGGTGATGATATTGGCTAGGAAAAAGATTTGTGTCAATAAGGGCGTTCACCTAAGATCTAACACACTTATCTTTTAAATTAAATGCATAATAAAACCGGTATTTTTGCGATAAATCAGCAAAAAGCTTTAACACTCAATGATGTACTTAGAGGGGATTCCCATGGCTGCTAGAGATAGTCCATGCTCTTTTGGGGATGTTATTGGCCAAGGAGTTTTTTTATTTTACTCGCTTACTTACTTAATAAGTAAGGCGAAACATATTTTACTTATGTTGACATTTTGTTATGTTAGAGAAGATAGTCCTGTTATCTTCCCAGAAAATTCACCATTAATTGTGTTTGGTTCCATTCTTCCTAAAGCTTATCAAACATGCACTTCAGGAATGCACTTCTACCGTTTTTTTTTTTGTGGTCTGTCTGTTTACCTCAAACCCAAATGGCTCCAACCTGTCTTTTCCAATTTGGCTAAAACTCTGTATAGGCCAACGGTCAGCCGAGGAACTGTACATTGGAAATGCCAATTGGCTTAGAAAGTTTAAGTCTGACATTCATTCATTGTCTGAAACAATTGATTTAGCCTAATTACAGGGCTGCCTAATTTTGAGTCAGATGTCTTATTGACAAAACCCATACCAATCCCATTATCGTTATATTTGGAGGTCTGATTTGGATTAGCTCTGCAAAAACAGTTGACTTTTAGGATAAACCACAGTAAGTGGAGAGCATATTTGTCCCCACCGCTGTTCACATTATGTTCTCTGAAAACATCATCATTGTCTGGTGCTGGAAAACCTAAACAACTGTTAACTTTAGAAATAACCAGACCGAGGAGCCGCAAGCCGAATAATACATATATTTGATGAACCGACCTATTCTCCACACTCTTTTGACGACGATGAACTCTCTCTTTAAGGCTCACAATCAATCTGCTTTCTCTCTCCAGAGGCTCATAATCAAGCCCCTCTCTCACCAGATGCCCCATCTGCTCCAATGCTGAGGAGATGCTTGACTATTTTCCATGAGATAAAAAAGAAATATGTTTCGTGTGGCTAATAAAAGAAATCTGCAGGAAATCTAAAAGCTATAAGTTTAATATAAAAAGGGCCAATCCATAATATGCACTGTATAAATTTGTTCAACATATCCAATCAGTTACATGCGGAAAAAAATGCAACAATTCATACAACTTGGACTGTCTGAATTGTCTCGCGTGTTTTAATTTCAGGCCAGTATTTCAGTTTTATCAGCATTATTATATGTGCTGCCAAGGAAGTTTTGTTTTTTGGTTCGGTTTGTCCATCTGTTCGACAGCAAGATTATCAAAAAACGATGGAAACTTGTTGAAAGGGTGACTCGTGGGTCAAGAAAGAACAGATTAAATTATGGAGCAGATCTGAATCTCAGGTCAGATAAAAAATATGTTTACTTTCATTAACATTGCGAGATAGGGCATCTGACCTTGGCAGAGGTCAGCGCTCTCCAAGTGCCCTTGTCATTAGTTGTGGAGTTTTAGAATTATTTTTCCAATACAATTGAGTTGTTAGCTGTCTCTTAAAAGCAATACTTCAACATTTAATTTGTTTGTTCATTTTCTTGCAGGGAATAAGACGAATGGACTGATACCTCTTTTGTGGTGCCATTCAATATGAAGCACATTTAAAGTCAAATATAAGTTGGCTTATTGGTAGAACTTTTCAGCAGATAACTCTTCAAGTTAGTCAGCTAGTGTTGAAGAGAAGTGTCTTTCATTTGGTTCTTATTTATTTGTGTGGCTAGTTTTCTTTTGAAGTAGCGAAAACAAATTCCCTCTCCATATTTAATAAAGCTATTGCCAGGAGTAAGCCGGACGCTATATCCATCCAAGAAATAATCAAGCACATATCCCCCCCTGTAAAACCACAGTTTGTACACGTTTTCTCTTTGAAATTGTTCACATAGATGAAATGAACAATATATAACCTGTTAAATGTTTAGTAATGTTAATTAGCAGATTGTTCTATACTTTAGATGGAGCAAAGCTAACTTTCCCCATCTTCTTTTTTGCTGATCAGAGTATCCTGGTATCCTGGTTCTAGCTTTATACTAAATGGACAGACTCAATGTTCAGTGGTCTACTTTCTACAGAATAAAAGGTCTCATCTGGAGGGAATTTTTATGTTTCTAGCTGCACAGAAGTTCATCTAATAATTCACAGGTATTGGCTTGTTTCCAGGCTGCCCACAGTGATCTGGCTCTACT